TGGTTAGTCGAGCATTGCTATGGAGACTCAAGGTAAACCTACCGTCGCGTTCGTAGGCCTCTGAGTCACCTTCATATATCGTACTTGTAGTGTTTAATTCTATTTCGAACAGTTGTATTTAGATTTTCTAGCAAACTCAGTAGATCTTATGACTTGTACTACCGGTTTTGGGATTGTAAGTTCTGTATAAAGATTTTGATTTCAAATTTATCAGTTGATGGTTGAATTCTTCTATTAATTCAGTAAGTGTTAGCTTACCTAGTCTTATAGACTAGGAGCCATCACGACATCCAACGGAAGGAAATTGGGATCGTGACAATATTGTTCAATGTCATATTTGCGTTATAGTTTCAGTTGCAATTTATTTAGTTCTCTGTCATCTAAGTTCAAAAAGAGAAGGTACTCGATCTTGGGACATTAAAAAATTGTAGCTAAAGTCGTATACAGAGAGTATCTTATATTTTAGAGAGAAAAAAGTAAAAGAAAATTGTTACACCCCATATTTTTTGTATGTAAAAGTACGTCATAAGCAAACTAATGTAAGACCAAAAAATGAGATCATCTTTGGAAGTATATAAAGTAAGTTATCATGATACCTTGGAGATTACAAATATTGAAGATCATGATCAACAAGTAAAAAAGGGTTGGAAGGTTCAGAAGCTAAGGAATTGAAGAAAATAATATTTCGTCGAAAGTCGACAAGTTGGGAATGTTATAACCCGTACCTATGGGGTGAAACTAGGGTTATTAACATGATAAGAGGTTTATGTCATAATTTATTTATGCCTTATGATAGTCATGTGTTATGTTTTAAGGTCAAGCAAGTTGTGAAACAAAAGTCAATGAAAGTCATCACAAGTTACGTTCATAAGTTTTACTGAAATTTAGGTCAAATGTAACTGCAATGTTCTCCCAATATACCTAGCGTTAGTGGGTGTTCCACCCATAAAATGGAAGATCCAATGAGTCTATTTTCTAACTCATTAAATGTTTAGTCAATACGACATCGTAGTAGAGAGATATATGCGTTTTTGCGAGACTGCGCAGATTACTAGGTGACATGTAGGTGTGTCACCTTCTTGGTTAAATGGGAGGATTATATATGTCCGAAAATAGGCCAGTTCGGGTTGTCCAAAGAGACATTATAAAGGCCTATTTCCTTCATATATTACACTGATAATAGGGCATAATAACCAAACCTAAACCCCTACAAAAATCCTCCCAATAATTTACACACAAACCCTATTTTAATTTCTCTCTTTTTCAAGTTCTAATTGGAGGAAAAACCTAGAGTTTGAAGAACCAAGATAGGAGCTGAGTTATTCAACAAATAATGTAAGTTTACTGCCCTATTTCATCTATTTTTTTCTGATGGATATGTATGGAAAGTCGTTCTATAATTGTAAAAATTTACGGGATGGTGATCGGAAGCCGTGAGTTCGAGTTATTCACTTGTAGAGGACTATTTTGTGGACTGTTTCATGTTGCTATTGGACTTCGTGTTTTTCTACTGTTTTATGAAGTTTTGAGGAGAATGTGTGTGGAGAAACACCACATAAATGCAGGGTGGTCGGCTGGTCATTCGTCATAACATGTTCGGGCTGTTTGACACTACTACGGTGGTCTTGTGTATGAAGAGATTGGGGTATTTTGGGCTATTTTGTAGTATTTTATGTTGTATATAAGGTTGAAAATAATTTATATATGTTGTTATTGTTTTGTTCTTTTGTTATTGGTGTTATCTTGAATTTGGAGGGAGTAAGGATTATAGGGGAGATGATGCCCATTTTAATATAAAATAAGCTTGTCGTTCGTTATGCGGTAGTTGTACCTTTTGTAACTTAATGATAGTATTATTATCATTGATGTAGATTGAGGTGTGAAGAGTCAAGTTCAACTTGGTGATTGGAAAGATTGTGATAAGGTAGGTTAAGGCTAAACCTTTCCATCATTTTGGCATGATTCCGTAACTACATGAGTTTGATAACGAGGCATAAAGAAAAGTTCATATTCCTGAACTTATGTACATTATCCTAGTCTTATAAATTACAGTATTCTCCCTTATTGGGACTTTATATACAATATTACAGTATTTTCACCACTATCGAGCTATAATCGATGGGCAGACCCCTATTGGGCAACCTCTGATAAGATGGTAAGATATACACCAAGCCTATTATGGCCGAACGCCTATGAGCGAGCCCAGAATGGCCGAGATACAAATCCTAGTATGGCCAAGTGCCTATGAACGAGCCTACTACAGCAAGGCAGTTACACCTTCCAAGCCTTATAGGGCCGGACAACTCTTTTACTTACTATATTGAGAGAGTTGAGTCAGTATCAGCAGGTAAGTATATCTCCAGATCATCTTTGACTCCTAGTTACTTTCAGTTATTATATTATTAGTTTAGTTTCAGCTTTCATTTATTCTATTGCCTTACATACTCAGTACATTATTTCTTACTGACGTCCCATTCCTGGGGACACTGCATTTCATGCATGCAGGTTCGGATAGGTAACCTAGTAGACCTCCTCTGTAGGTGCTATTCGTGATCAGCTTGATCGGTAAGCTCCACGTCATTCGGAGTTGCCGAGTCTAGGGTTTTGAGTATATATTATGTATATATGTATATATATTATGGGTAAGTTGGGGCCCTATTCCGACCACAGTACATCCATCAGTAGAGGCTTGTTGACACATTCTATCAGTTAGTGCAATATGTTGGGCTTGTAGGACTTGTATATATATTTTTGTTAGTTTGTCAGTTGTAGTAGTTCTGACGGCCTTGTTGGCCCAGCTTTATATTGATGTTCAGTCAGAGCTAGTTTCCGTTTAATTTTATATTTTGTTTCAAAAATTGTCTTGCAATGTGGCCCTATGGCCAATGTATGACATTGTATGTTTAGAGTCCCTCAGTCGCATGTTGGTACGCTAGGTTAAGTGAGGCAGCGGGTGCCGTTCTCGCCCTCAGGTTTGGGGCCTGACAACTTGGTATTAGAGCAGTTCTATCCTATGGAGTCTACAAGCCGTGTCTAGCAGGGTCTTATTTATAGATGTGTTGTGCACAACATTTTATAAGCAGGCAACTACAGGGTTTTTAGGAGTTGGTTACCCTTCTTTCAAAACTAAATCGTGCTATAGAACTGAGTTATAGGAAATTTTAGTTATACTTAGATGTTGGTGTTTGCATACACAGATGACAGTGACTAGGAAGACTACGGCTAGCCAGAGGAGAGATACAGTAGCAGGTGAGGGGACCAGCAGGGTGCCCCCAATAGATGGGGCCTAGTGTAAGGCCCAGGGAGAGATCAGCCATTACAGACTCTTCCACCACCTGAGGAGATTCTTAGGGATACCGAACATCCAGTTCCCCCTCCATTTCCATCAAATCAGGACTTGAGGAGTGTTGTGCATTTCTTGACACAATTGGTAGCTACCCAGCAACAGGCTAGGGCATCAGCTAGTGCAAGGTATTTTGAGGGGTCTCGGAGTTCAAGGGTTCCGAGAGTTTATTTCCTTGAGTCCTCCAGAGTTCACAGGGACAGATCAGAGAGAGGACCCGCAGGATTTCATAGATCAGTTACACAGGATCTTTTGGGTTATGCATGCCACGGAGAAAGAGGAAGTTGAGCTGGGAGTTTTTTGACTTTGAGATATAGCCATCCTTTGGTACGAGGGATGGGAGAGGTTTAGGGATGTGATGCACCTCCAGCTATTTGGGAGAATTTTTCAAATGCCTTCCTTAACTAGTACTTACCACATGAGCTCCGACAGGCTCGAGTCAATCAGTTTCTAGCCCTCAAGCGGGCAATATGAGTGTTCGAGAGTATAGTCTCTGTTTTGACTCATTGGCCAGATATGCTCCATCCATAGTTGCTACTATGAGGGACAAGATCCACATGTTTATCGCAGGGTTGGCCCTAGAGTTGACCCAAGCATGTGCCACCGCTGTATTGGAGGAGAGTAGGGATATCTCTTGGATTCAGGCATTCACCAAGAATATAGAAAGGGACAGGCGTTGGCAGCAGGGTACAGCGAAGAGTGAGCAAGGAAAGCGTAAGAGAATGAGATTTTTTAGGTCTCAAGAGCAGTATCAAGGTAGTTATAGGCCCCAGTACTTTTTACGGCCACCTAGGCCTCCAGCGCCTCAGTTACAGGGTTACAGGTATGACTGCTATACTAAGTTAGGACGAGGTGAGAGCTCACGGGTGTCGGGTTTACAGCGACAACAAGGTTAAGGGTAGATATAGTCACTCCCGCTGGGGTGTGACATCTATGGTAGAGGAAACTTGGGCCAATGCCGAGAAGGTTCTGATGCTTGTTATACATGTGGGCGTCCTGGGCATATGATGCAAGATTTTCCAAATAGAGATTCTAGGGGTATGGCACAACCAACGAGTTCAGCAACAGGATCATCTTTGTCCCTGCATCCTTCAGGGCGCGAGTCTCATTTTTTGGCTGGTAGAGGTCGAGGGAGAGGTTCCAATTCAAGTAGTAATCAGAACCGTATCTATGCTTTAGTGGGTCGACAGGACCAAGAGTCTTCACCAGATGTTTGGATAGGTATATTGACCATTTGCTCTCACGATGCTTATGCCTTGATAGATCCAGGATCTATTTATCATATATTACCCCATTTGTCGCAGGGAAGTTTTGTATAGTGCCTGAAATACTAAGTGTTCCTTTTGCTGTATCTACACCGGTCAGAGAACCGATTATTTCTAGACGGGTTTACCGAGGTTGTACGGTGACAGTTTTTAGTCGTCAGACCTCAGTCGACCTAGTTGAGCTAGAGATGATAGATTTTAATTCTATCACGGGCATGGACTGGTTGGGAGCTTGCTATGCCACAGTTGATTGCCGAGCAAACGTAGCCAGATTTCATTTTCTGGGTGAGCCAGTCCTTGAATAGGTAGGTAATACAGAGACACCCAGAGGTAGGTTTATTTCCTATCTGAAGGCGAGGAAAATGATCGCAAAAGGGTGAATTTATCATATTATGCGAGTTAGAGATACAGATGCTGAGATATCTACACTTCAGTCTATTCCAGAAGTCAGAGAGTACACAGATGTGTCTCCAGATGAGCTTCCACGTATTCCTCGAGAGCGAGACATGGAGTTTAGCATCGATTTGCTTCCGAGAACTCAACCAATATCTATCCCTCCATATAGTATGGCACCTGCCGAATTGAAGGAGTTGAAGGAGCAGTTAAAAGATTTGCTGGAGAAAGGTTTCATTAGGCCCAGTACCTCACCTTGGGGTGCACTAGTACTGTTTGTGTGGAATAAAGACGGCTCACTGAGGATGTGTATCGATTATAGGTAGTTGAACAAGGTAACTATTAAGAATAAGTATCCACTTACAAGGATTGATGACTTGTTTGATCAGTTGCAAGGGGCTAGAGGCTTTTCAAAGATAGATTTGAGGTCATGGTACCACCAGGTCAGCATTCGAGAGAAAGATATTCTGAAGACAGCCTTCAGGACCCAATATGGCCACTTCGAGTTCCTTGTCATGTCCTTCGGGTTGACAAATACACCCACCGTATTTATGGACTTGGTGAATAGCCTATTCCGGCCATTTTTAGATTTGTTTGTGATAGTATTTATTGATGATATTCTGGTTTATTCACGTTCAGAGGAGGAGCATGTGGACTACCTATGAGTGATACTCCAAACCCTTTGTGATCGTAAGTTGTATGCTAAGTTTTCTAAATATGAGTTCTGGTTGAAGTCTGTAGCATTCTTGGGGCATATTGTATCCGATGAAGGTATAAAGGTAGACACTCAGAAGATTGAGGGCGTGAAATCTTGGCCTAGACCTACCACTCTGACAGAAGTTCGTAGCTTTCTAGGCTTAGCAAGATACTATCAGAGGTTCGTAGAGGGTTTTTCTTCCCTTTCGGCACCATTGACGAAGTTGACGCAGAAAGTAACTAAGTTTCAGTGGACGGAGTCTTACGAGCAGAGTTTCCAAGAGCTTAAGAACAGGTTGACCTCAATGCCAGTTCTAACACTTCTAGAGGGTCCAGAGGGTTATGTCGTATAGTATGATGCCTCAGGTATCGGGTTAGGATGTGTCCTGATGCAACATGGGAAGGTAATTGCGTATGCTTCAAGGCAGTTGAGTAAGCACGAGAGGAATTATCCAACCCTCGACCTCGAGTTAGCTGCGGTTGTCCATGCACTTAAGTTATGGCGGCATTACTTATATGGAGTTCATGTTGATGTATTTAAAGATCATAAAAGCCTGCAATATATCTTCAAGCAAAAAGAGTTGAATTTGCGACAGAGGGGGCTAAAGTTATTGAAAGATTATGACGTTAACATTCTCTACCATCCAAGGAACACTAATGATGTAGCAGATGCCTTAAGTCGCCGATCTATAGGTAGCTTAGCACATATTGAGGTTGAGAAAAGAGAACTACCTAGAGAGATTCTATATGGGTGATAGTCGATAGGCCGAGCGCATAATTTAGATGCTCGAGGATATGTTACGAGCATGTGTGTTGGATTTTAAAAGAAATTGGGATGAACATCTACCTCTTATCGAGTTTGCATATAATAACAGTTACCACTCCAGTATCCAGATGGCTTCGTATGAGGCTTTGTATGGGCATAAGTGCAGATCTCTTATAGAGTGGTTAGATGTTGGAAAATCTGGGATACAAGGGCCAGACTTGATTCAGCAGGCCATAGAGAAGGTAAAGCTTATCCAGGAGCGACTGTTGACAGCCTAGAGTCTTCAAAAGTCATATTCTGATGTGCGGTGACTAGACTTAGAGCTCAGGGATGATGATTGGGTGTTCTTAAAGGTATCGCCTATGAAGGGAGTGATGAGTTTTGGCAAGAAAGGCAAGCTTAGCCCATGGTATATTGGGCCTTATAGGATTATTTGAAGAGTGGGCCGAGTAGCATATGAGTTAGACCTGCCCTTGGAATTGGATTCTGTGCATCTGGTTTTTCACGTATCTATGCTATGAAAGTGCATTGGAGATCCTACCCAAGTGGTGCCCGTTGATGATGCGCATATCACTGAGGACTTATCGTACGAGGAAGTTCTAGTTGCCATCCTAGACCGAGAAATCCGCAAGCTACGAAATAAAGAGGTAGCCTTAGTGAAAGTTTTATAGAGAAGCAAGAATGTGGAAGAGATGATGTGTGAAGTGGAGGATGAACTGAAGTCTAAATATCCCCACCTATTTCAAACTAAAGATATGACTCGAGATGGGATACTTCAGCATAGATCTATTTAGGCTAGTAGATCATCAGGTAAGCTCTTATTTTTAACTTTTAGTATTTATGATTGACGATTGTGTGAGGCCATGTGTGGCATGTATAGTATGTTTTCTATCTGTGTGCATGTTGGTTTTGGTCTAGTGTACAGAGGAGACTCTGGCAAATTTTTCCCAAGTCTCTAAGAGTTAATATTCGAGAACGAATGTTCCTCGGGGGAGGGGGGGGGATGATGTTACACCCCATATTTTCGTACGTAAAAGTGTGTCGTAAGCAAACTAATGTAAGACCAAAAAATGAGATTATATTTGGAAGTATATAAAGTAAGTTATCATGCTACCTCGGAAGTTACAATATTAAAGATCATTATCAACAAATAAAAAAGGGCTGGAAGGTTCAGAAGCTAAGGAATTGAAGAAAAAAATGTTTCGTCGAAAGTCGACAAGTTGAAAATGTTATAACTCGTACCTTTGGGGTAAGATTAGGGTTCTTAAAATGATAAGTGGTTTATGTTATAATTTATTTTAGCCTTATGATAGTCATGTGTTATGTTTTGAGGTCAAGCGAGTTGTGTAACAAAAGTCGATAAAAGTCATCACAAGTTACGTTCATAAGTTTTACTGAAATTTGGGTCAAATGTAACTGCGCTTTTCTCCCAATATACTTAAAGTTAGGGGGTGTCCACCCATAAAATTGAATATCTATGAGTCTATTTTCTAACTCATTATATTCTTTGTCAATACGACATTGGAGTAGAGAGATATATGTGTTTTCGTGAGACTGCGCAGACTGCTAGGTGACAAGTAGGTGTGTCACCTACTTGCTTAATGAGAGTATTATATATGTCCTAAAATGGGCTATTTCGGGTCGTCGAAAGAGACATTTTAAAGGCCTATTTCCTTCATATATTACACTAATAATAGGGCATAATAACCAGACCTAAACCCCTGCAAAAATCCTCCTAACAAATTACACACAAACCATAATTGAATTTCTCTCCTTTTCATGTTCTAGTTGGAGGAAAAACCTAGAGTTTGAAGAACCAAGATAGGAGCTGAGTTATTCAATAAATAAGGGAAGTTTACTGCCCTATTTCATCCATTTTTTTCTGTTGGAGATGTATGGAAAGTCATTCCATAATTGTAAGAACTCACGGGACGGTTATCGGAAGCCGTGAGTTCAAGTTATTCACTTGTAGCGGACTTTTTTGTGGATTGTTTCGTGTTGTGTTGGACTGCATATTTTGCTACTATTTTATGGCGTTTTTGAGGAGAAAGGGTATGGAGAAACACCACATAAATATAGGGTGGTGGGCTGGTCGTTTGTCATAACATTTTTGGGCTGTTTGACACTACTACGGTGGTCGTTTTGCGTATGAAGAGATTGGGGTATTTTGGGTAGTTTTGTAGTATTTTATGGTGTATATAAGGTTGGAAAATAATGCATATATGTTGTTATTATTGTGTTCTTGTGTTTTTTGGTGTTATCTTGAATTTGGAGGTAGTAAGGATTATAGGGGAGATGTTGCCCGTTTTAATACAAAATAAGCTTGTCGTTCGTTGTGCGATAGTTATATCTTTCGTAACTTAATGATAGTATTATTATCGTTGATGTAGATTGAAGTGCAAAGAGGCAAGTTAAACTTGGTGATTGGAATGATTGTGATAAGGTATGTTAAGGCTAAACCTTCCCTTCATTTTGGCATGATCCCGTAACTATATGAGTTTGATAACGAGGCATAAAGAGAAGTTCATATTCCTGAACTTATGTACATTATCCTAGTCTTATAAGTTACAGTATTCTCCCTTATTGGGACTTTATATTCAGTTAAGTATTGTCTTCTTCCAAGAGAGCAGATGGTCTATATATATATATATACAATATTACAGTATTTTCACCACTATCGAGCTCTAATCGATGGGCAGGCCCCTATTGAGAAACCTCTGATCTGATGGTAAGCTAAATACCGAGCCTACTGTGGTCGAGCGCCTATGAATGAGCCTAGAATGGCCGAGATACAGATCCTAGTATGGCTGAGCGCCTATGAGAGAGCCTACTATGGCCGAGCAGTTACACGTTTCGAGCCTTATAGGGCCGGACAACTATTTTACCTACTATATTGACAGAGTTGAGTGGGTATCAGCACGTAAGTATATCTCCAGATCATCTTTGACTCCCAGTTACTTTCAGTTATTATATTATCAGTTTAGTTTCAACTTTCAGTTATTCTATTGCCATACATACTTGGTACATTATTTCGTACTGACATCCCATTCCTGGGGACACTGCATTTCATGCATGCAGGTTCGGATAGATAGTCTGGTAAACCTCCTCCGTAGGTGTTGTCCGTAATCAGCTTGATCGGTAAGCTCCACGTCCTTCGGAGTTGCCGAGTCTAGGGTTTTGAGTACATATTATATATATATGTGTATATATTATGGGTAGGTCGGGGCCCTATTCCGACCAAAGTACATCCATCAGTAGAGGCTTGTAGACACATCCTGTCAGTTAGTGCATTATGTTGGGCTTGTAGGCCTTGTATATATAATTTTGTTGGTTTGTCAGCAATAGTAGTTATGACGGACTTGTCGGCCCAACTTTATATTGATGTTCAGTCAGAGCTAGTATCCGTTCAATTTTATATTTTGTTTCACAAATTGTCTTGCAATGTGGCCCTATGGCCAATGTATGACATTGTATGTTCAGAGTCCCTCAGTTACAAGTTGGTACACTAGGTTAAGTGAGGCATCGGGTGCCGGTTTCGCCCCCAGGTTTGGGGCATGACAAAAATAAAGAAGGCCTTTTTAAAATATTTGTATAATACTAAAATATTTATTTGAATAATATTTAATGTGAAAGAACAATAAAAGTCCAACCTTTTCTAAGTGACTCTTAGATCCAACACAACTTTAACTCGTAAAGGTTCAACCTTTACTAGGGATCTGTATATGTTCTTCTCCCCTATTAATTTGTCAAAAATTTCCACAAAGATTGCCAATTAATTTAAGCTTTTGTACATTAAACTGAATCCACAATTGATATAGTGGATTATTCCCATTTCAACTTTTCAGCTTATTCACGTTAATGGTACTGTGATTGATATAAGGGAATACTCATGTTTTATTAGGAAATATTTGTTCATAATTTAAACTTAAATCCTATTCCTTGAGGTTGAAATGTTATCCTTTGGTACATAAATGCTGGTGTTCTCTATGAGAAACAATAAAAGAATATCTTATACTTTGGAGAGAAAAATTAAAAGTTAATAAAGAATGCAGATATAATGTGATTTTGTGGCGCTATGCAAAATCTATAGTAGGTAATCAACTCTCTTCCTTTATCTTACATGGTGCAGGTTCGTATTTGATGATTTCTTAGCTTTAACTTGGTTATAAGAATCATTTTATATCATTCATTGGTGCCCAAAATTTTCTCTTTTGATCTGTACTTGTGTACTTTATAGTTTTCTTTTATAAAAAATATAATTATAATTTATCTTCTTTTATAGGATGAGCATGAGTAAACCAGCATACCTTACAATATGGTTCATCTAATGCTCAAGCTATTTGTAACGACTCGACTGGTCGTTTTGAGCTCTAGCGCGTCATTCGGCGGTTTGAGGCCTTGAGTAGTTTCAGTTCATGTATTACGACTTGTACGTGTGGTCGAAATCAAATTTCGGGAAGTTCAGAGTTGATTCGGATGGAAAATTCTAATTTTAGAAGCCTTAAGTTGGATGAATTGACTAAGGTTTGACTTTTGAGAAAACGACCTCGGAATTGGGATTTGAAGATTCTAATAGGTTTGTATGATGATTTCGGACCTTGGCGTATGTTCGGGTTAAGTATCGAGTGGTCCGGAAGCATTTCAGCGCTTATTATAGAAGGTTGGCATTTTGAAGGTTTAAGAATTTCATAAGTTTGGTTTTAAGAGGATTTTGTTGTTATCAATGTCCGTTTGAGGTTTCGAGCCTTGGAATAGGTTCGTGTCGTGATTTGTGGCTTGTACATAAAGTTTGGTGTCATTCCGGAATATTTTGATATGACTCAGACGCGTTCGTCAAAGTTTGGAAGTTTAAAGAAGGATTTTGATCGTCGATTCGTATTTTTATTGTTGTTTGGTGCGATTTGAGGCCTTGAGAAGGTTCGTTTCATGTTTTTGGATGTGTTGGTATGTTTTGATGGGGTCTCGGGGGCCTCGGGTTTGAAACGGATTGAAATCGGATTGAAATTCTGATTCGAGGAAATGCCGAAAACTGCTGAAGTCTTGTATCATCGCACCTACAGTGGTTTGGTCGTAGGTGAGGACACGCATGTATGAGGGAGGTCATCGCAGAAGCGGAGAAGGCCAACAGGGGAAGGGCCGCAGGTGCGGAGCTTTGGTCGCATCTGCGCAAGCGCAGAAGTGAAAGGTTGGGTGCAGAAATGGGAGAATGCAGAGGCTCGCACATGCAATGTCGCAGAAGCGGGGGATGTTTCCGCAGGTGTGAAGCATCTTGTTTGGGTGATTTTCCACTGAAGCGGAGGAGTGGTCACAAAAGCAATGCCGCAGGTGCGTCATTTTGGCCGCGGATGCGAGATTATCGCTAGGTAGAAGGGTTCTTTCAATCGAGACTTACCTCTGATTTCTCTTATTTTCCACATGGATGGCCGAATTTGGAGAGCTATTTTGAGGGGGTATTCATCGAGCAACTCAAGGTAAGTGATTTCCTCCAATTACAAGTTAAATACATGGATTATACAAGGATTTAAACATGAAAACTAGTAGAAATTGTGAGATTTTGAAAGAGACCTAGAAATTGGTATTTTGGACTTTTACCACGAAATTAGACATAGAATTAGGAATCAATTATATATTTGAGTTCGTGGTGATATGGGTAATGATTATCTTCGAAACT